GTGATATCCCTCATTCCATGTCCTCTTCTGAATCTGGCTTGAACCTCTGGAAGTTCTCTGTCAATGTATGCTTGCAGCTGTTTTTGTATTACATTTAGTAAAACTTTACTCACACAGGATATCGAAGATATTATCTGATAATCTCCACATTTCGTTGGGTCACCTATCTTTGGAATGGGCACAAATACGGATTTCTTCCAATCAGTCGGCCAGATAGTTGATTTCCAAATTTCTTAGCATAGATGAGTGAATGCCTCCAGTGCCGCCTCACTTTCTTGAAAGATTTCAGTTTTTATTCCATCAGTTCCTGGTGGTTTAATTCTTTGCCAATTCCTTCAATGCACCTTGGACTTCTTCCTTCAGTATCATTGGCTCTTGATCATATGCTACCTCTTGAAACGGTTGAACATAGACCATTTCCTTTTGGTTCAGTGACTGTATTCCTTCCATCTTTTATTTTATTTTATTATTTATTAATGTTTTATTGTGACTTATGTAATAGTTTACATGGGAGAAGATTAGCTTTACATTCATCCTATTGTATATTTCATTGCCATGGTTACAATCCCCTGCATCCACCATCAACCAACCAAAGGGTACACCCTGCAAGCTTTCTCCCTGGTCGTCAGCACACAGTCCTTCTACCTCTCTGGGTCTAGAGTCCCCAGCCGTTCCCCTCTCTCCACGACATTTTCTCTGCCTCCATCTCAGGCGTCACTGTTTCTCTGGGTAGGGTCCCGCATTCCGCTCTTCTCCTTTGATGGTCCCAGGGACCTCCTCTCCTGGACTGCAAAGTCAACCACTCCCTTTGTTTTGCTACAGAACGTCTACTTTACATTTCCAACTTTCACAGTCTACTCAGTGGAGATTCTGCCTTTATCCGTGCCCTCTGGATCTAGGCTCCTTCTTGAAAGCTTGTAAGCCAGTCACTTCTTGCCTTTGTAGCTCCCCATTTTGGGTAGCCAATGTCCAAGGTGCCCATCCCTGTCTACTGTATGGAGGGGGTGGGAATGATCCTCGCTGTAAAGATTTGTTCCCTCTTTTGAGCTACTGCATCCACAGGTGTGGGTCAAGTTCATCAAATTGTATCAGATTACTCTTTTTTTTCCTTTTCTTTCTTCTTCTAGTTGAATTCTGATCATCCAGCCA